CAAAACTTCTGGTCATGGTCCACTACCTGTTGTTGGTTCTTGTAGAGATGATGTTGTCTGTAGCATGACTCTTGTCTTTTTCAATTCTTGGAAATATAGAAGTGTCAACTGGTGATTGTGTTAGCTTCTTCCTCATGGGGAACTCATTTGTTGTATATTTTTTTCTGTTTGCTTTTTTTTTTTTTCGGACTATCATATTCATTTCTTAGAAACGCAGCATATTTTGAAACAGCTTTCATGCATAAAAAGAAAGAGGAATATTATTTCAGTTTCGTGTTCCATCTCTGAAAAGGTAAGAGTCTTTCTCAGGTATCTTCACCTAGTGAAAAAAGAAAAAAAAGGGGACTGTTGCTGTTTTGTTGTAAAAAGAAGCAAGTTGTCGGAATTATGCATTTGTAATGACTGCACTGGGAAGATCATGTTTGTATTGTAAAAACTGTAGGGAAAAGCTCAACATTGTTCTTTGTTTATGTCATGTATGAATATTTTAATATTTCACTTGTAGGTATGCAGATTCATATTTCACAAATAGTATGTAATTTATGCTCGCGGATGTCTATGTCAAAAGCATTGAGGGGGAAAGAGTGACATGCATTTTACATGATTTCTGTGAAGTATGAAAGATAGTATACAACAACAACAACCACAACAGCACAATAGTGGTCTCTCAGCTGTGAAAAAGTGTTTAATGCCAGACCGAGGGAAGAGTCGGGATCTCTCCTACCCCTCCTGTGTAATGGGATAAAAGACCCACTGAACACACAGAGAGCTGCAGCTCCTGTCGTGGTGAATAACTCGTTTAGACATCTATTCTCAGGAACTCCTGTTTGATAGAATTTCTTCTTTTCAACTGTTTTACACTTAACTTATGTTCTACTGTCAGAGTCGCTAAATTATTTAAAATACTAATGGTATCATGTAGCTTACAGCTTTCTCTCATGTACACATCTGCGAAATGGAACCTTTTTATACTCATGCTAACGGAATAACTATGCTATAATGAACTGGCTTCTTTGCAAAGCTCTTGGCACAAATATTTGACGAGCTCCTGTTGTTTGTTTCTTTAAGTTATGACAGCCGTTCTTATTTGTATTGGCTGCTCTTGTCATGATCAACACAATTTATGTTTGTTATGTACACATTTCTTCATTTTAAGAGAAAACATTTTTGCACTATAATGATGTGGTATTTTAAGTTGGAAGGTGTGTTTGTTTTCTGAGACTGATATTTCCCACAGTAACTTCGATGTACTTGAGAATGGGTGGAAGTCAATAAAATGAATTTATCAGAATATACGGTGGAGTCTGCTTAAACCAAACATAGTTAATCGGAAAACAGCAGTAAACTGAAGAAAAATAAAATCTCCGCTTTTTTTCCTTCTTCTATATTGAAGCCTCTAAACTGAAAACGGGGCTAAACCAAAAAAAAATATATATATTTGGCGGTCCCGCTGGTTTGGTTTGAGCAGATTGGGCTGTACTCACACTTGTATCCTGTCAGCAGACTTTGTCCATTCCACTGTCTCACTGTTAGTGCTCTCCCCTGACCATTGACCACCACGGGTATGGCGAAGAGTTTTTATCATGGACGATTTCAAGTGTGGAAGAGAGAGACATTTGTGTCCTGTATATATGGTCACTTTTAAGGACAAGCAGGCTAACCCAGATTTCGGGGGTTTCCAGAAATCTTGACCTACACCAAAAGTGGGCATTGTCCTACCTATAGGAGAAGTTTGGTTTCATTGGTGTGTATATTTGATAGGTTACAGAGAAAACTCAAAGAAACTGAACAAGGGGCAAAAACTTTACCTTCGATTTTCTCAAAACAGCATTTTTCAGGATAGCCCCCTTGTGCTTAAAAGCGACTATATGTAATATGACATGAGAATTCATCTGTGAGGCTGTGCTTTACATCATTTCCAAGTGTTCAATCATTTGTTTTTCTGTTTAAAATGTGCAGTTTCATTTCGTTTGTTTTTAAGTTCAAATGAGTCATGAAGCAGAAACCTTGTCTACAGTTGATTCATTCTTTCCATTGTGTGTATGTTAGTGTGTTTTTCTTTGTGATCTTTCAAGCTTGTGTGTAAAAAATGTTCAATGTAGAGTGTCTTTGAAGTATATTCGTACAGGAGTTCTCTGTTTACTGCTTGACAGTATGGGGACAGGACACATAGTGGTTCCCACATTCCATAATTTGCAATGACGTTTTTCATTCATAAATCTGTGATAGTAATCAAACCTGCACACACCTCAGTAGAAATTCTAAATACAGCACAAATTTGCCTTGGTGTTATAGATCTAGTAAGCTTTCAGGACTATTGTTCTTTTACTTTTTTTTTTTTTTTTTTTTTTCCCCCTTAGATCCATGGAAGTGGCTTGTTTGTTTTTTTGCAATTCAAATCATTTTCACCTCTAAATAAAAGTGATTTTGGAAGGACAAAACACACTGTTATCCTTACAGCCTCCTCATGCTTGTTTCAGTTACAATGTTACATATATATATATACAATTATTACAATTACTGCACAGAATTGATTTTGGGTTAGTTTGCTTTTTTTTCCTGTCTTTTTGTTTGTTTATTTCCACTTTTGTAAAAACAATCTGTGGCTATAAGTAATCACGGTAAATACATTTTTGTTTAATGTTTCAATAGACAGGGGTCGATGAAGTCAAAGAGGTGTTTGTGCTTCTTTTTAATAAGCTGGTTGTCTTGCCTTTGTTGTTCTCTTGTTATTTTTTTTTTAAAGGGTTTTTTTTGTTTGTTTTTTGTACATTTCTCCGACAGGTTGGTAGGGTATGAGTTGTAAGACATCCAGTATTTGATTAGTGTCTTGCTATACCGTGCCCATCAACACTTCTGTCATCATTGGACTTTATGGACTGGTCGGCAAAGCAGTTGAAATTAAAAAGGGAAAAAAACTCTTGCTCACTCCCCTCCCAACACCCCCCCCCCCCCCCCCCCATTTGTGCCATGTCATTGTCCTTCGACAGATTCTGGTGTGTTGTAATGTAGTATGTCACTGTGTGCATGTTTGGGGGGTTTGTTTTTGTTTTTTTCTTCTACTACTACACATTGGGATTTTGTTGTGGTTTGAGTTGATACCGCCAGTAGAGTGCATAATTCCTATTTTGTTTGAATTTGTTTTGAGTGCTTATTTTTGTATTGGTAGTGCTTTGATTTTGATTAATAATCATGACTGCAAGCTGTATGGGCTTTACAAATTATTAGTTTCTTTATATTAATATTGTTTTGTCGTTTGAAATAAAGAATGTTGTTAAGTTTAAGATGTGACATTGGACTGAAGACTGTAGCTTTTGAATGAGACTCCCTTTCTGTCTGGTTTCAATGATTCTTGGAAAAGACTGAATGCGTCTGCTGAACCGTTCCTCAGGATATGCACTTAAAAATAGAGAGGGTTGCCCATTTCTCTCTATATTAATTATACAGTACAGTCTCATTTAGCCTATAGCGCATAGCGAAATTGGTGGAGGCACAGACATCTTTACGATATGTGTACAAATTTCTCTACATTTGGGATTTAAATACGTTGAAATATATGTGTAAGAAAACATGTAGGATCTGAAAATCTGTTGGCTATGTGCTTGCTTGACTCTAGCTTAAACTTTAAAGAACAACTGTTAAAATTATCCAAGGTCTACTGCAATATTTTTTATTTCTTGTAATTTATTTTAGAACACTTCCCATGCAATATGTATACACCTCAGATTGCTATCTAGAATTGCTTCAATAGTTTTGTTAGGCAGTGAACAAATTTGTTTCTAGATTTACAGGCTTTCAGTAGGCTACAAGTGTTTTGTTATAGTTTGTGGTACGACAGAACCGTTTACATCAAGTTAGCAGAGATAACTTTAAAACTATTTTGAAGTAGTTTTGTTTTACTCTGAGGTACCCAAGGACAGTCACTTGTTGGTGCAAATCTCTTTTCCTGGTGAAATAAGAATGCACAAACTGGAGCCTGAACCAAGCAAAGTGTCAGTGAACACTTTGTTACCCTAATTCTTTTTCTTCACTTTCCCTTCTTTTATGATGTATAGTAACTCAAGACCAGAACTGGTTTCAATTATTACTGCAGGATGCATACCTAGTGTTTGGAACACGAAAACATTGAAAATGTACATGCTACCATCATCAAATAAATCTATTTATTTTGTGGAAATTTGAAGTTGTTACTGCCAACCAGTGAAATTTAGTCAACTGAAATGTTGACGAGAGACATTCCATTAGCGCACGGAATTGCTCCATCTTCTGTACATAACAACAACACTTCAAGTATATAGTCCCACATCTCAGCCTGGAAAGTTCCGATTACTTAAAGTTAACAGATTACGTGAAAGCATTTGTCATTCGTGTAGAACTGTTCCTCATCAAGGTAATCATGTCAAAGTATGATGTAGGTGCAACCAAACTTCATTTTTATCATTTTTATCATATTGGGCAGTCTCTACTTTTTGCAGTAGGTTTATAGAGTTTTGCATGAGTTGCAAATACAGTCAAACCTGTGTAAGACGGCCACCCAGTGTCAAGGAGAAAAGTGGCCATATAAGACAGATGGCCGTCGTAGGCAGGACTGGTCAAGATGAAGAAAACAAACCATTCCCATCTGAGATCCCAATTGAAAGTAGCCGCATTGTTGTTGTTTTTGTTGTTGTTGTTGGTTCGTATTTTGTTTGTAATTTTTATTTTGTTACTGATTTTGCACAAGGGTGACAGTAAAACGAAATGTATCAGACAAGGAAGACTGAATGCCATGTTAA